TTAGGGCAGGGGTGTCGAACTCCAGGCCTCGAGGGCCGGTGTCCTGCAGGTTTTAGATCTCACCCTGGGTCAACACACCTGAATCAAATGATTAGTTCATTACCAGGCCTCTGGAGAAATACAAGACATGTTGAGGAGGTCATTTAGCCATTTAAATCAGCTGTGTTGGATCAAGGACAGACCTAAAACCTGCAGGACACCGGCCCTTGAGGCCTGGAGTTCGACACCTGTGCTTTAGGGCTAAGCCCCAGGTGTATACCATGTCTGGCTCCGCCTCTGGCTATAATCCAGCTTTTGTGTGTTTTTAGGCTTTTAGCTGCCACATCAGTGTTAGCTAAAGTCTTTGTTAGTGGGGGGAAAATGACAGTTTACTTTTTATCTTCTACAACAAACTGCGCTATTTATACACCTAAATGCTTGCAGGGTCTATTTTTAACACACTTAAGATAAAAATAGAGCACAGAAAAGGCTCCTTTAATGCGACATGTTTCGCAATGTATCATGGGAAACATAGGAGGACGTTCCCAGTCGTGCTTCTGCTGCTGGTGTCAAATCTTGCTTCGTGTATGGGCTCTGTGTATGTAAAAGACAGCTGACACAGCGCCTAAACTCTCGCGAAATTGGCAACAAATCTGACCAAAATGCTGAGACGTGGCTATTTCCGGGTCATGGAGAGGCCGTGGTGGACAGGACGAAAGGCGGAGTGATTACTAGAGAGGTTTTGCTGTCAAGTGAGTCACTATCCAGCTGTTGCTAATCACCTCAGTGCATGTCTGCAGAAGCTAACCGCAGCTAACTAGCTTGGTACTGCCCGACAGCCCCTCTTTCCCGGTCACATGAGACGAATTTGACCGAAGAGAGGATGGCGGAGCGGGATATGCCGCCGGGAGATCTTCCTCTGCGGTCTTCTTCAGAAAGTTCCGACAAACAAAACTCCTCCGATGAAAACGGACACACTGACAGCCCGGACGAAACTCTCTCCCCGACCTCAGTGATTTACTTCAAGGAGGCTTTAAACTCGTCCAACCTGCGCTTCGCAAAGGCTGGATCGCTGCCGCCCGCTCCGCTTCGACAGTATGACTTCCAGATTGAACGAATCGAATCGAGGCGACGAAGTAAGTGTTGACCAACTTCAAAAAGTACACCTTTCCCTGACAGCTAACACTAGCTTCCTAATACACCGAGAATACCAACTGTAACGCTGCAGTTTGTGCTGCTAGCATTGTTGGCTAACTTTCCAACGTCCGTAAACAAACACCTTGCTGACACATGAACTCAGTAAAGTACCAGGAGTTATCGGAGCTAAAGCTGGGGAGAGAATAAGCTACATCACATGATTGTTGACTCTCAGCTTCAGATTTCTGCCTGCAAAGTAAAAGCCGCTGTGTTTTCTTCTGTGTTGTTTCTCGGCTAATGTGTCAACATATGTCATGTGTTTTGACAGGCTTGGTTGACTGATTAACATGATGAGCATCACTTGTGGCTCATGTTGATGATTTAATTTTATGTGCTGTGGTGAGCTTCTGGGTGGTGTTGTGTACTTTCCTTTCATAAAGGGATTGTCCAGTGTGTCCTCTGTTAAAGGAGGTAATAAAGGAAGCATTCAGACACCTTTCTTTAGTATTTACAGGAACTCTTAAAATGAGTGGATGTATTTGTTATAGCTCTTATTCTGGCTGCAGATACTTTAGGGTCACTTAATTCAGTTAGAAACCTTCCTGAGGTATTGAGTCTTTGACTGGTCCTGTCGTTGGTCGTGACAGAGTTAACCTGTTGTTAAAATACCTGTTTGCTTTCACATCTTCATTCTCTATCAGCACACAGGTCTCTGTGGCATTTAAGATCCTTTTTACTTTTAGTTTCCAAAGCTCTTGCAGAGAGACCTTAAATAAATGTAGGCAATAGGTCAGTAATGTCTGTCCATAACATTACAGTATAAAACTAATAAACTTGAGTAACATCCTATTCTTAATTCATAGGCTTTAATGCTATGTTGGCCCACCCTTTGCAGCTATGAAAGCTGGAACTCTTCTAAGGTTTTCCACAAGGTTTAGAAGTGTTTATGGGGATTTTTGACTTCTCCTTGTGAGGTCAGACACTGATGGTGGTCTCACAGTCTCCCCTCTAATTCATCCCAAAGGTGTCCTATCAGGGTGAGGTCAGGACTCAGTGCTGGCCAGTCAAGTTCGTCTACACCAAACTCTCTCATTCATGTCTTTGTGGACCTTGCATTGTGCAGTGGTGTGCCTTCATGTTGGAACAGGAAAGGGCGTTCCCCAAACTGTTCCCAAAATGCCCAGAGCATGAAGTTTTCCTAAATGTCTCGGTATGCTGAAGCGCTAAGAGTTCCTTTGGGCCAAGTCCAGCTTCTGAAAAACAGCCCCCGGCATAATCGTAGAAACACCTCTAAACTTGACACTTGGCCCACTACAGTCAGACAAGTACCACTTTCCTGGCAACCGCCAAACCCAGACTCATCCATCACAATGCCAGACGGAGAAGTGTGATTCACCGCTCCAGAGAAAATGTGCCCAATGTACTAGAGTCTAGTAGCGGTATCCTTTACACCACTGCATCTTATATCACTTGGTGATATAAGGCTTGGATGCAGCTGCTCTTGATCTAATCTGAAGGAACAGGAAATTTGAGGTCCTACAGATTAACTCTGGAGAAAGTTGGCGACCTCTGTGCACTATGTGCCTTAGCATCTTTAAACTGCCCCCAGAATACCAAAGCAACATGGTAGAGCGGTTCAGTTTGGTTACGCTGCAGTCACCTGTGATCGGATGGCTGTCAATCGAAGTAGAAAGCGTATAAAATAATTGTCCCCATAAAGTTGTTACAATATGGAAACTAAGCTGTTTACTGTACATGCTATAAACATGTTTTTCTGCTGTAAAACTGGAGGTTTTAACACATCTGTGAGGATTGACTCACTTTTCTAGCCTCATGAACATTAGAGCAACTGCAGTTTTTGACTGTATTATACTGAACACATGGTGTTACTTTCTAAGAGAAAACAGAGGTTTGTTTCAGACAAACAAAGCAATCGATTAAAAAAAAAAAAGTGAAAACTTTCTCAATTAAATTTGTCACATGTTTATTTTTGTTGTCCTCTAAAGATGATCTGATTTGTCAATATCCAGCTCGATGTTTAAGGTGTTAGGCCCAGGGAAGCTGTACCAAAATGGGTGGGGGATTTAAAAAATAGATGGCCCCCGCTTACATGTGGGACCTTTGGCCTTATTGCCCTTCATGCTCACTGCTGCTGCTGTTTTTCTGCTGCAGCCAGCTGACAGGCCCGTGTTCGAGACTGGGAGGAGGGGGGATGTTGTTGATGCTTCAGAGAGACACAGGCCCTCTGCTGCATCATTAGCCTCGGTTGGTTACTCCGGGGACCCCCCTCCCCCCCTTATTTTAGCTTCTTTTTTTTTTACGCATGCACCATCTGCTCACGTGACAATGTGTTGCTGTACCCAGCGCTGCCGTCAGCCATCTTGGTCAACACCCACCCAGTGCATTCACTGCGGTGCGCAGGCAGTC